TCATAAGTGAAAAAGAGTGAAAACACTGGAGAGTTATCTGCAATTAACACTTGGACAAATACAGGTGGTGATTTGAACACCAATAGATTCCCACTCTTGAATAATAAGGAAAGAAACATACTTGGCAATGACTATTATTGTATTTTCATTCCATGTACGATTCCCTAATAATTGTCTTATCAAAAAATATCTAATCCTTCCCAGATGGAATGTGGTTGAGTATACCTATTATAAATTAGTTGCTGATCTTCACCTAATTTGTCATCCAACATTTCAGCGGCATTGTAATCTTCACCTCCTCACAAAAACCTTTACAAATCTGCTGGTGTGAGGCAAGTTTTCCAATTAAATCAAATTATTTCAGAAGACAAAGAAGCTGCATATCAGTAAGTTGTTGAATTATTTGAAAGATAAGTTGTACTTTGATTCTTCCAAAGTACTCTTTTAATTATAGTTGTTAATTTTATACTAACCCAATGGCAAACATTCGTGATAGCTTGGACGAAAAGTTTTTACACTTTATTCTCCAAGTATATGAAATGTTTTCACTTTGCCCGTAAAATCTAATGGCACATTGGTATTTTCTTTCCAAAACATAGTCCAGTGGGGTCCGACTATTCCGTGGGATGGGGCTTAGCCAAGATCAAGCCTAGCCTGTATTGAAAAAATTTCGAGTAAGAATCCCGGATGGCCCTTAACTAAAAAATTACTTGTTTGCATCTTTCTATTATTAGACCTCAGGGAAAATTATGTTTGGACTCGTTCAACTATGTTTTGTCACTCCACTAATGAGTTTCTCATATTGTCTCCTCAACTACTTGATTAGTTTTGCATTGTCTCAAAACTAAGCATCTGTCTTGTTTGAACCAAAAATAGCAAAAATGTGTAAATGTATAACAAAACACATATTTTCAATGTCTACAACTTGGATAAATGAAACCCATGACCATGATAAGATATGCAATATGAAAAACGTGACAATGGAGGGAAAAAATATTATAGTTGAGGAGATGATGTGAGGTGTAGGATATAAGTGGAATTTGCACTCAAGGTTATGCAAGTTAAAAGCTCAGCAACTACGGGATGTTGAGGTCAGGCTATTGGTGGGTGAGTCCTCCTTAAGTGGCATATACTGAATTAAGTTCACCAAAGAAACTTATTTAGGACTAAGTCCGTTTTTAATCTTATTAATAAGTAGTTAAGTTCGTTATTTTTTTAAAATTTCAAAATGACCTTCTATTGACTTAAAAAATAATCTTCAACATTAAATTAATTTCTTAAACAGTCATCCTTTATTCACACTTAATGCAGATTTTTTTCTATAAAATCTGAAATTCAAATTTAAATTTGACATCGCTACAACTTCTCTCTATCTTTGTCTCTCAATTTTTTTTTTTGCTAAGAAGACTGTGGTTAATTTAATATTAAATGTTACTATGCATGTTACTATTTATTTTTCATGTTACTATTTTTTTGTTGTGCATGTTATTATTTTTTTGATGAGTATGTTACTATTAATATTGAATGGTACTATTTTTGTGAAATATCAATATTTAATGTTATTTTTTTTGTTGATCATGTTACTGTTGTTATTTTTTTTCAAATATTAATATTCAATGTTACTATTTTTTATTTTTGAATGTTCCTATTTTTTTTGTATTTAAGTGGTACTATTTTTTGTATTTGAATGTTACTATTTTTTATTTTTAATGTTACTATATATATATATATATATATATGAGGGAGAGAGAAATAGATAATATTATTCTATATATATATATATAGATAGATATGAAATTTTTTTTTTAATATTAGTCAAACTTCCAAAACTCAAAAATTGTTAGTTTTTAAATTTGTTGTAATTAAATATATCTAATGAGGGTATTTTAGACAATGAAAATTAAAATATACTTAATATTAAATAAATTTTCTTGATGGACTTATCACTAAAAAAAGTCCACAAAAGAAGATCGGCCTCCGAATTTCCCTTTTTTTATTTGGGATTTGGGGTTTGTTGGAGAAAAAATTACTCCAGGACACTGTTTATTCATGATATCTCTGTGGGCATATTTATCAAGGCATTCACTTTCATGAAGAAATATCTTGGCTAGTGGGGAAAGAAACATCAAACATACTTCGGTAGAGAGGGCTATTATTGTATAATCATTCCACATGCGATTCCCTAATAATTGTCTTACGAAAAAATGTCTTCTCCTTCACAGTAGAGATAAGTCGTAGAATTGTATAATTATTTGCCTTCATTATTCGTAAAATAAATTCTATTTCGCTTCCTTCAAAGTATTCTTCTAAATATGATCATTACTTTTACACTAACCAAATAACGAACATTCGTTATGGATTGGACAAAAAATTTTGCCACTCCATCTCCAAAAGTATGAGTTGTTTCACGTTGCTCCCAAAATCTAATGACACATTGACATTTTCTGTCAAAAACATACTTGATAATGAAGGGTGCATTGGCTACAAAGCTGGCCATGATGGCCTGAAGCCAGGGGCAGAGCCAGGAATTTTGTTCAGGACGGACACTTTAATTATGCACTCTAATTTTTTTTCTTCTAACCAATCACACTATATAACATATTTATATTTATTATATTATATTTGATATATGAAGTTCATTCAATATAAAAAGTTCCAAAAAAATAATTTATATTGCCAGGAGCGGAGTTATGAATATCTATGATAAAGATAAAATATAATTAGTATAAAAAAATATTAAGCCGAAATTAATACAAAAAATTCAGTTCAAGAATAAAAAAAAAGTAATAATCAACACTAAATTATTGTGAAATAGTAAATTCAATTCTTATTTAGACGAAATAAAATCTTAATAAAAAGACACAATATTAGGTTATAGACTACTATTACTAAAAAAATGGTAAATGAAAACTAAAAATTATTCTTAAAAAGTAATGAACATTGTGTTAGATAAAGAGAAATATTGTATTTTCGTCAATATACAAATAAACATTGACTCAATCCAAAACTAATATATTTATTTTAGAGGGTTAGTGACCCACTAATTTATTTAAAAAAAAGACTATAACAGTTATTAAAATTTCCAAAAATTTAGGTGATAAATGTAAAGTATAAAATAATTTTATAGGTTGGTGCAAGGAAGGACAAAAAAACTCAAAGAATTGAGCTTCTCGTGTGTTGAGTTTTTCTTTATTTCTTCTCTTTTTCTTGTGACTGGACAGTAGGTAACTGGGAGTGAGTGATACAGAGAGAAGAAAAAAAAAGGAAATATAAGATAAGTTTTAGTCAAGTGGGTCAAAAGTTTTGTTTTTTAATGATAGTGGGCCAAAAGATTTGTTTTTAATGTTAGGCCAAAAATTTTGTTTTTAATGTTGGGTTAAAAGTTTTGTTTTTTTAATAGGTTTGGGTGGTTTGTGATAGGTCAAATATTTAATTTTTTTAATAAAGTTTGGATAGATAATAGTGAGTTCAATTTTTTTTTTGTTTTAAGTAGACTTAATTTTTTTAATTATTTTGGTTAAATAATGTGGCCCTAATATACATGAAAAGGCACATGTAAAATATATGTATAAATATATAATACATATAGTTAACTAATAAAAAAAAATATTTAAAGAGGGCACATGCCTACCCTGGCCCTACCTCCCTCCGCCTATGCCTGAAACCTGTAGGCAACAAACGGTCCACGGGCTAGCCCGGCCATTAAAGCCATGTGCATTGGATTACGTGAATTGTAGANGTGGCCCGAAGCCCGTAGGCTACAAACGGCCCACGGGCTAGCCCGGCCATTGAAAGCCATGTGCATTTGATTACGTGAATTGTAGGAAATGAATCTAATCTACCTTATAAATTAATGGCTGCTCACTACTTTCTTTGTCATCAACATTTTTTCAGTCCAAGCAAATCACTTATTTCAGAAGAAAAGCCGACGAACAAAAGAAGGAAGTTGAAAATCAGTAAGTTGTGTAATTTTATAAGCATTTGTTTTGATTATCTAAGTATTGTAATATAAATGTGCATGTTTACTTCCATATACTTAGTGTAGTTTCCTAGTTTAACACGTTTTGATATACTCCACCCCTCATTTCACGGAGTAAATATTCATTGCAACGGTAATCTTACGTCATCATTAGTGACACGTGGTATCACCAACTAATAAGAATACATTATATAAATATAAGTGAACTCGACTATTCAAACGTGTTAGTTAGTCAACGTGGTAGTTATTAACAATTACTAAATAATGGAATACACCACATACACATGATATATTATCATTAATTGGTGATACCATGTATCGCTAATGACGTGATATAACTGCTGCAAGGAATATTTTTTCCGTAGTGAGAAATTTTGAAGAGCTAATGGCACTCTTTCCTTTTAAATGTTGTAAAATTTATTTTGCACCCTTAATGTTAAATAATCACATATTGACCCTTTATTTTTCAAACTTGTATGTAGCAACGTGCCCCAATTAGTAATTGAAAGACGTTTCCTTTTCCTCCATAAAGATATGATCTGTTTACTCCTGAAAGATTTTAAAATTGGACCTGTGTGGAAAAGCAGTGAGATTTTACACTTGAACTTGAACTGGCAAAAGAGACCTATTGAAACGGTTTTAAAAAGTTCAAGGGTCAAATTAAAATAACTAAAAGTTTAAAACAATCCAAAATTTATAACAGACATTAATCATTAATATATTCAAAATAAATCACAAAGTTAAAGGTAAAATGTGAAAAACATATTAGTTAAAGAGACAACCACTTTCCACCCNTGGACTTCTAGGCCTATCATGTCCCATCTTGTGTATTTACTAAATGTTCATTTGACAAAAGTGGCATAGGCTTTCCACCTTGTTTTTTTCAAAAGATGTCTAATTATTTTCAGTGTGGTTTCATATTGGTTTGAGATTTTTTTATGCGGCATGTGAAGTAAAATATCTTTTGAAATATTCTTAGATACTTGTTTGTCATTCTACATAAATTGTGAAGGAAAATCAGATGTCTCAGTTGTCTATTTGCATCGCCGAAAAGCTTGCTACTTTACCATCTACACCCTATAAACCTTACTTGTTCAAAATAAACGATGCACTACGTAGAGAAAACAGTGAAGCATACGAACCAGAAATAGTAGCAATTGGTCCTTATCACCGCGGCAAAGTTAAGCTACAAATGATGGAAGAACACAAACTATTGTACCTGCAAGAGTTGCTTAAACGGAGAAATGAGTTGAATGTGGATATGTATGTCATAGCCATGCAAGAATTAGAACAAAAAGCTAGAAAGTGTTACGCTGAACCCATTAAAATGAATAGGGATGAGTTTGTGGAAATGCTGCTACTTGATGGGACCTTTATAATTGAGTTATTTCGCAAGTTCTCTTGTGAAGAACAGGAACATATAGATGACCCTATTTTTCAAGCAACTGTCATTTGGCTGAATATACCNTGCCTCATCAATTTCCCGAAGGATGCTGAAAAACTTCACCATTATGGAATTATTGATAACTGGTTAGGTGATGATAAAGTGGTTTCTACATTGTTTAACAAATTGGGCAATCAAATCAGCATAAATTCTGCGACGTTTTGCTACTTGAAAGTTTTCAACAAAGTGAACAAGCACTGCGAACGTCGTCGGCATACATGGATGGCCAAAGTAAAGCATAATTATTTCAATAGCCCGTGGTCTACCATTTCAGTGGTTGGGGCTGGTGTGTTGCTAATACTCACTGCGATACAAACTGTATATTCTATCTTATAAATCTAGTTTTAAATCTAATTTGATGTACTTACCCACCCCCTCAGTCAATAAATATTATGTTTCAAATAAGTGCTATTCATTGTGTTAAGACAACATGTTTTTTTGGAAATGTTAAGTAAAATTTCACTGCAGTTTGGAGCAAACTGTAAGGTTGGTTTCCATGGCGTTGTAAACTAAGAACTTATATTTGGAATTCAAATGAGTATGCTATTAAACAACCAAATGGAGTTCGACTAATTTTTTTTTCGAAAGATAAAATGATGCTATTGATTCAAAAAAGACAAGATACAGGAGGGTGAATTCCCTTACAAACAATAGGAATCCACTATTAAAAGCCAAACTATTGAATTCTGGGGGAAGTGAGGATGGTTGTCCAGACTTCCAACAAAATGCATAAGGGAAGAGAATAGCCCAAACAATTATTGGGGATTTGCCACAATTGAGCGAGTCACAGGTTTCTGTTAGTGGGCTTGAATCTGAGAGAAGCAGTTCTGTCTCTAATAGTTTGGACAATGAGGGTGAGGAGGGAGGAGTGGTCCCTAGACTTGTCTTGGTGAATTCTAATGTTTCTTTCCATCCAAATGTTATAAATTGAAACAACAAGACTGAGCTTTAGGAGGGCGGTGCACATAGAATTACCTTTCCAATTCTGGCTTGCATAATTGATGATCCCCTGCCATGACATGTTTTGCATTTGCTGCCAACTGAGGAGTGGCAATTGGGCCTAAATATANGTTGATGATCCCCTGCCATGACATGTTTTGCATTTGCTGGCAACTGAGGAGTGGCAATTGGGCCTAAATAGAATGAGAGAAATAGCATTCAAAGAATAAATAGGCATGTGACTTGGATGATGAGTTACAAAGAGAGCATTCCAAACTAATTTCAGCAAAAAAATATTGGTTTCTGTCTTTGGTGCTGAGTTTGGATCTGATGGCAAGCCACAAAATGAAGGATCACACATGAGTTGAAAAATTAATTAGGGACGACTTTGACATTATTAAATCCTAATCCTAATTACCAATATCTGAGTGGAGGGTATTATTGTAAATTTTTTTGACGGATGTATTTACAACAGGAGTGTGTACAAACCTCAATGAGTCTATATGTAATATTTCAAATGTTAGAGGGTTNGATGGGGCTTAGCCAAGATCAAACCTGGCCTGTATGAAAAAATTTTCAAGTAGGAGCCCTGGACGGCCCTTAGCTAAAAAGTTATTTGTAAGCATCTTTCTACTATTAGTCCTTTGGAAAATTATGTTTGGACTCTTTCAACTATTTTTTGTCACTCAACTGATAAGTTTTTCTCATTGTCTCCTTAACCACATGATTAGTTTTGCATTGTCCCAAAACCAACCATCCGTCTTGTTTGAACGACAAACAGCAAAATGTCTAATGTTTTCAATCTCCACAACTTGTATAAATGAAACCCATAACCATGATAAGATGTGCAAGGTGAAAAAATGTGACAATGGAGGGAAAAATATTATAGTTGAGGAGATGGTGTAGGTTGTAGGAAATAAGTGGAATTTACACTCTAGGTTATGCAAGTTAAAAGCTCAGAACTACAGCGTGCTAATGATGATGATGTTGGGGCAGTAGAGGTAATGATGGGCAATTATTGAATAGCCATCCCATAGACGATTCCCTAATAATTGTGCCATGAAAAAATATCTTTGCCTTCACACAAGGAAACTGGCTGAGTAGACCTATTATAAAATAGTTGCTCTTGTTCACCAAATTTGTAATCCAATATTTCAGCTGCATTTCAATCTTCACCTCCTCACAAAAAAACATTTACAAATCTGCTGGTGTGAGGCAAGCTTTCCAATTAAATCAATTATTTGCTTCAAAAGACAAAGAAGCTGCAAATCAGAAAATTATAGAATTATTTGAAAAATAAGTTGTACTTTGATTCCTCCAAAGTATTCTTTTAATTATAGTCATTAATTTTACACTAACGCAATGGAAAACATTTGTGATAGCTTGGATGAAAAGTTTTGGCACTTTATTCTCCAAGTATATGAAATTTTTTCACTTTTCCCATAGAATCTAATGGCACATGGGTGTTTTCTTTCCAAAACTATTCCATGGGATGGGGCTTAGCCAAGATGAAGCTTGGCCTGTACCAAAGATTTTTCGAGTAAGAGCCCTAGACTGCCCTTAGCTAAAAAGTTATTTGTTTGCAGCTTTCTATTATTAGTCCTTAGGAAAAATTATATTTGGACCCTTTCAACTATGTTTTGTCACTCAACTGACTAGTTTTTCCTATTGTCTCCTTAACTACGTGATTAGTTTTGCATTGTCCCAAAACCAACCATCTGTCTTGTTTGAACGAAAAACAACAAAATGTCTAATGTTTTCAATCTCCACAACTTGGATAAATGAAACCCATAACCACGATAAGATGTGCAATGTGAAAAAACGTGACAATGGAGGGAAAAAATATTATAGTTGAGGAGATGATGTAGGTTGTAGGATATAAGTGGAATTTACACTCCAGGTTATGCAACTTAAAAGCTCGGAACTACAGGGTGCTAATGATGATGATGTTGGGGCAGTGGAGGTAATGATGGGCTATTAATGAATAATCATCCCACACACGATTCCCTAATAATTGTCCAATGAAACAATATCTTCTCCTTCACACAAGGAAACTGGTTGAGTAGACCAATTATAAATTAGTTGCTCTTGTTAAGCAAATTTGTCATCCAATATTTCAGCTGCATTTCAATCTTCACCTCCTCACAAAAAACCTTTACAAATCTGCTGGTGTGAGGCAAGCTTTCCAATTGAATCAATTATTTGCTTCAAAACACAAAGAAGCTGCAAATCCGTAAGTTGTAGAATTATTTGAAAAATAAGTTGTACTTTGATTTTCTCCAAAGTATTCTTTTAATTATAGTCATTAATTTTACACTAACGCAATGGAAAACATTTGTGATAGCTTGGATGAAAAGTTTTGGCACTTTATTCTCCAGGTATATGAAATTTTTTCACTTTTCCCATAGAATCTAATGGCACATGGGTGTTTTCTTTCCAAAACTATTGCATGGGATGGGGCTTAGCCAAGATGAAGCTTGGCCTGTACCAAAGATTTTTCGAGTAGGAGCCTTGGACTGCCCTTAGCTAAAAAGTTATTTGTTTGCGTCTTTCTATTATTAGTCCTTAGGAAAAATTATGTTTGGACCCTTTCAACTATGTTTTGTCACTCAACTGATTAGTTTTTCCTATTGTCTCCTTAACTACGTGATTAGTTTTGCTTTGTCCCAAAACCAACCATCTGTCTTGTTTGAATGAAAAACAACAAAATATCTAATGTTTTCAATCTCCACAACTTGGATAAATGAAACCCATAACTCTAATAAGATGTGCAATGTGAAAACACGTGACAATGGAGGGAAAAAAATTATAGTTGAGGAGATGATGTAGGTTGTAGGATATAAGTGAAATTAACACATCTGGTTATGCAAGTTAAAAGCTCGGTACTGCAGGGTGCTAATGATGATGTTGTTGGGGGCAGTAGAGGTAATGATGGGCTATTATTGAATAATCACCCCACGTACGATTCCCTAATAATTGTCCCATGAAAAAATATCTTCTCCTTCACACAAGGAAACTGGTTGAGTAGACCTATTTTAAATTTGTTACTCTTGTTCATCAAATTTGTCATCCAATATTTCAGCTGCATTTCAAGCTTCACCTCCTCACAAAAAAACTTTACAAATCTGCTGGTGTGAGGCAAGCTTTCCAATTAAATCAATTATTTGCTTCAAAAGACAATGAAGCTGCAAATCAGAAAGTTATAGAATTATTTGAAAAATAAGTTGTACTTTGATTCCTACAAAGTATTCTTTTAATTATAGTCATTAATTTTACACTAACGCAGTGGAAACATTCGTGATAGCTTGGATGAAAAGTTTTGGCACTTTATTCTCTAAGTATATTAAATTTTTTCACTTTGCCCGTAGAATCTAATGGCACCTGGGTATTTTCTTTCCAAAACTATTCCATGGTTTGGGGCTTAGCCAAGATGAAGCCAAGCCTGTGTCAAAAAATTTTCGAGTAGGAGCCCATGACGGCCCTTGGCAAAAAGGTTATTTGTTTGCATCTTTCTATTATTAGTTCGAAGGAAAAATTATGTTTGGACTCTTTCAACTATGTTTTGTCACTCTACTGATGAGTTTTTCCTATTGTTTCCTTAACTAGGTGATTAGTTTTGCATTGTCCCAGAACCAACCATCCGTCTTGTTTGAACGAGAAACAACAAAATGTCTAATGTTTTCATTCTCCACAACTTGGATAAATGAAACCCATAACCATGATAAGATGTGCAAAGTGAAAAAACATGACAATGGAGGGAAAACATATTATAGTTGAGGAGATGATGTAGGTTGTAGAAAATAAGTGGAATTTACACTCCAAGTTATGCAAGTTAAAAGCTCAGAACTACAAGGAACTTATGATGATGATGTTGGGGCAATAGAGGTAAGAATGGGCTATTATTGAATAATCAACCCGCATACGATTCTCTAATAATTGTCCCATGAAAAAATATCTTCTCCTTCACACAAGGAAACTGGTTGAGTAGACTTATTTTAAATTTGTTGCTCTTGTTCACCAAATTTTTCATCCAATATTTCAGATGCATTTCAACCTTCACCTCCTCACAAAAAAAACTTTACAAATCTACTGGTGTGAGGCCAGCTTTCTAATTAAATCAATTATTTGCTCCAACAGACAAAGAAGCTGCAAATCAGTAAGCTGTACAATTATTTGAATAATAAGTTGAACTTTGATTCCTCCAAAGTATTCTTTTAATTATAGTCATTAATTTTACACTAACGCAGGGGAAAACATTCGTGATAGCTTGGATGAAAAGTTTTGGCGCATTATTCTCCAAGTATATGAACTTTTTCCACTTTGCCTGTAGAATCTAATGGCACATGGGTATTTTCTTTNATTTTTCCACTTTGCCCGTAGAATCTAATGGCACATGGGTATTTTCTTTTCAAAACTATTCCATGGGATGGGGCTTAGCCAAGATCAAGCCTGGCCGGTATCAAAAAAGTTTTGAGTAGGAGCCCTGGACAGCCCTTAGCTAAAAAGTTATTTGTTTGCATCTTTCTATTATTAGTCCTTAGGAAAAATTATGTTTGGACTCTTTAAACTATGTTTTGTCACTCAACTGATGAGTTTTTCCCATTGTCTCCTTAACTACGTGATTAGTTTTGCATTGTCACAAAACCAATCATCCGTCTTGTTTGAACGAAAAACAACAAAATGTCTAATGTTTTAAATCTCCACAACTTGGATAAACGAAACCCATTACGATGATAAGATGTGCAATGCGAAAAAACTTGACCATGGAGGGAACAAATATTATAGTTGAGGAGATGATGTATGTTGTAGGATATANCATAGAATCTAATGGCACATGGGTGTTTTCTTTCCAAAACTATTCCATGGGATGGGGCTTAGCCAAGATGAAGCTTGGCCTGTACCAAAGATTTTTCGAGTAGGAGCCCTGGACTGTCCTTAGCTAAAAAGTTATTTGTTTGCGTCTTTCTATTATTAGTCCTTAGGAAAAATTATGTTTGGACCGTTTCAACTATGTTTTGTCACTCAACTGATTAGTTTTTCCTATTGTCTCCTTAACTACGTGATTAGTTTTGCTTTGTACCAAAACCAACCATCTGTCTTGTTTGAACGAAAAACAACAAAATATCTAATGTGNAATTGTACCACGAAAAAATATCTACTCTTTGAAACTGGTTGAGTAGACCTATTATAATTAGTTGCTCTTGTTCACCAAATTTGTCATCCAATATTTCAGCTGCATTTCAATCTTCACCTCCTCACAAAAACCCTTTACAAATCTGCTGGTGTGAGGCAAACTTTCCAATTAAATCAATTATTTGCTTCAAAAGACAAAGAAGCTGCAAATCAGAAAGTTTTAGAATTATTTGAAAAATAAGTTGTACTTTGATTCCTCCAAAGTATTCTTTTAATTATAGTCATTAATTTTACACTAACGCAATGGAAAACATTTGTGATAGCTTGGATGAAAAGTTTTGGCACTTTATTCTCCAGGTATATGAAATTTTTTCACTTTTCCCATAGAATCTAATGGCACATGGGTGTTTTCTTTCCAAAACTATTGCATGGGATGGGGCTTAGCCAAGATGAAGCTTGGCCTGTACCAAAGATTTTTCGAGTAGGAGCCTTGGACTGCCCTTAGCTAAAAAGTTATTTGTTTGCGTCTTTCTATTATTAGTCCTTAGGAAAAATTATGTTTGGAACCTTTCAACTATGTTTTGTCACTCAACTGATTAGTTTTTCCTATTGTCTCCTTAACTACGTGATTAGTTTTGCTTTGTCCCAAAACCAACCATCTGTCTTGTTTGAATGAAAAACAACAAAATATCTAATGTTTTCAATCTCCACAACTTGGATAAATGAAACCCATAACTCTAATAAGATGTGCAATGTGAAAACACGTGACAATGGAGGGAAAAAAATTATAGTTGAGGAGATGATGTAGGTTGTAGGATATAAGTGGAATTTACACTCCAGGTTATCCAACTTAAAAGCTCGGAACTACAGGGTGGTAATGATGATGATGTTGGGGCAATGGTGGTAATGATGGGCAATTAATGAATAATCATCCCACACAAGATTCCCTAATAATTGTGCAATGAAACAATATCTTCTCCTTCCNCTCACAAAAACCCTTTACAAATCTGCTAGTGTGAGGCAAACTTTCCAATTAAATCAATTATTTGCTTCAGAAGAGAAAGAAACTGCAAATCAGTAAGTTGTAGAATTATTTGAAAAATAAGTTGTACTTTGATTCCACCAAAGTATTCTTTTAATTATAGTCATTAATTTTTCACTAACGCAATGGAAAACATTCGTGATAGCTTGGATGAAAAGTTTTGACACTTTATTCTCCAAGTCCATGAATTTTTTTCACTTTGCCCGTAGAATCTAATGTCACATGGGTATTTTCTTTCCAAAACTATTCCATGGGATGAGGCTTAGCCAAAATGAAAAATGGCCTATATCAAAAATTTTTCGAGTAGGAGCCCTAGATGACCCTTAGATAAAAAGCTATTTGTTTGCATCTTTCTATTATTAGTCCTTAGGAAAAATTATGTTTGGACTCTTTCAACTATGTTTTGTCACTCAACTGATGAGTTTTTCCCATTGTCTCCTTAACTACGTGATTAGTTTTGCATTGTCCCAAAACCAACCATCCGTCTTGTTTGAACAAAAAACAACAAAATGTCTAATGTTTTCAATCTCCACAACTTGGATAAATGAAACCCATAACCACGATAAGATGTGCAATGTGAAAAAACGTGACAGTGGAGGGAAAAAATATGATAGTTGAGGAGATGATGTAGGTTGTTGGATATAAGTGGAATTTACACTCCAGGTTATGCAACTCAAAAGCTCGGAACTACAGGGTGCTAATGATGATGATGTTGGGGCAGTGGAGGTAATGATGGGCTATTAATGAATAATCATCCCACACACGATTCCCTAATAATTGTCCAATGAAACAATATCTTCTCCTTCACACAAGGAAACTGGTTGAGTAGACCAATTATAAATTAGTTGCTCTTGTTCAGCAAATTTGTCATCCAATATTTCAACTGCATTTCAATCTTCACCTCCGCACAAAAAACCTTTACAAATCTGCTGGTGTGAGGCAAGCTTTCCAATTAAATCAATTATTTGCTTCAAAAGACAAAGAAGCTGCAAATCAGAAAGTTATAGAATTATTTGAAAAATAAGTTGTACTTTGATTCCTCCAAAGTATTCTTTTAATTATAGTCATTAATTTTACACTAACGCAGTGGAAAACATTCGTGATAGCTTGGATGAAAATTTTTGGCACTTTATTCTTCGGGTATGTGAAATTTTTTCACTTTGCCCGTAGAATCTAATGGCACATGGGTATTTTGTTTCCAACACTATTCTATGGGATGGGGCTTAGCCAAGATCAAACCTGGCCTGTATGAAAAAATTTTCAAGTAGGAGCCCTGGACGGCCCTTAGCTAAAAAGTTATTTGTAAGCATCTTTCTACTATTAGTCCTTTGGAAAATTATGTTTGGACTCTTTCAACTATTTTTTGTCACTCAACTGATAAGTTTTTCTCATTGTCTCCTTAACCACATGATTAGTTTTGCATTGTCCCAAAACCAACCATCCGTCTTGTTTGAACGACAAACAGCAAAATGTCTAATGTTTTCAATCTCCACAACTTGTATAAATGAAACCCATAACCATGATAAGATGTGCAAGGTGAAAAAATGTGACAATGGAGGGAAAAATATTATAGTTGTGGAGATGGTGTAGGTTGTAGGAAATAAGTGGAATTTACACTCTAGGTTATGCAAGTTAAAAGCTCAGAACTACAGCGTGCTAATGATGATGATGTTGGGGCAGTAGAGGTAATGATGGGCAATTATTGAATAGCCATCCCATAGACGATTCCCTAATAATTGTGCCATGAAAAAATATCTTTGCCTTCACACAAGGAAACTGGCTGAGTAGACCTATTATAAAATAGTTGCTCTTGTTCACCAAATTTGTAATCCAATATTTCAGCTGCATTTCAATCTTCACCTCCTCACAAAAAAACATTTACAAATCTGCTGGTGTGAGGCAAGCTTTCCAATTAAATCAATTATTTGCTTCAAAAGACAAAGAAGCTGCAAATCAGAAAATTATAGAATTATTTGAAAAATAAGTTGTACTTTGATTCCTCCAAAGTATTCTTTTAATTATAGTCATTAATTTTACACTAACGCAATGAAAAACATTTGTGATAGCTTGGATGAAAAGTTTTGGCACTTTATTCTCCAAGTATATGAAATTTTTTTACTTTGCCCATAAAATCTAATGGCACATGGGTATTTTCTTTCCAAAACTATTCCATGGGATGGGGCTTAGTCAAGATCAAGCTTGGCCTATATCGAAAATTTTTCTAGTAGGAGCCGTGGCAGCCCTCAACTAAAAAGTTATTTGTTTGCATCTTTCTATTATTAGTCTTTAGGGAAAATTATGTTTGGACTCTTTCAACTATGTTTTTGTCACTCAACTGATGAGTTTCTCATATTGTCTCCTCAATTACTTGATTAGTTTTGCATTGTCCCAAAACCAAGCATCCATCTTGTTTGAACGAAAAATAGCAAAATGTCTAAATGTATAACAAAACACATATTTTCAATCTCTACAACTTGGATAAATGAAACCATGACCATGATAAGATATGCAATATGAAAAACGTGACAACGGAGGGAAAA